AATCTCCATTTTGGTTATAAAACAAATCTGGGATCCACTGATGCTACTGTGTACCTTCAAAATTCTATCGCTAATGCACTTAGGAAACGATAAAGATTCTTTAAGGCCATTTTGAGCATTCGAATGCTTTCAACTCTGTAGCTCTACGACTGGTCTGTCAACGAAACTATCCTTCGAAGGACAGCCAACTATCTTTCCAACAGATGGCGATCTATTGCAACAGGTCAGAAGAAATCCTTAACCTACCTAAACCTAGCAATTGTTTAGGAGTCAGTTTTGTCCCCATTACTGTATTCAGTATGTACCTATTCCTCATCTCGACGACTGCTTGAAATTTTATGACGATATGACCATCGTGAAACCTACCGAAACTCATAAAGATCTGACTAACCGTGAGAAAGATTTAGTAGAATCCAAAGACAGAGTATTTTGCTCGTGCACTGGTGATCATTTTGAAAACTTAAACATGTACAAAAATAATTTATTTATAAGTAACACAAGCAAACAAGTTAGTCAATGGGGTTATTGACCTACACCGACATTTGTACTAATCCCTAACGGGTCTTCTTTAGAGTGGTCCGGATTGACTTCCGCAGTTAATTCTGTAGTCCGCAGCTGCTGTGACGTTTGAGTTTTCATACATTTTTCAGTTTTCAACATTTTGCAGTCTTCTTACTCAAAACGATTTCCCTAAGACAATATTTTTGCGAAAACATTTGGAAGTCGCTTAACTACAGTATATGCTCATCCGATGCAGTAAAATTAGGCGAGCCTCGTTTCTCACGGAGGTTTTATCTGTTTGGAATCTACTCTGAAGTTACAAATGACTTTCCACTGTCAATATCCGTACACTGTTTCTCTAACCCGCTCCTACAATATCTACTTATCACCAAAAGTACCAAAGAATGAATGAATTCAAAATTCTTTAAAACTACTCTGCTCTATCCATTCACGCCATTAACGTGTCTGCCGTCTTTGTTACTCTATATTATCGTATTCGGAACGTTCCCTTTACGACCTATACGAACATGGGACCTCATGTCATAATCTTACCCGTCTTCTTAATTTGTCAGCATATATTCCTGCACAAAGATGAATGAGTGGCGTCGAATTACGTGTAATAGAGATATCCTTTTACTTTTACAATGATTAACTATGTTACAGCATAGTCAGCTGTATCGTACATGTCCAGATGACAAGCAAACAGATCCACAAAAGTTAAACAACTTTGCGGGTCTTTTTATGATCGTTGCTGACCGGTACATTTATCAGATATCTGGATCGCCTCAAACATCCTGATACTGATGAAAAATGTTACTGCGTTGGTTCAGGTACTTAACTCCAGCAAAAATCGCTAGCCA